TTTTCGTTGAATTTCGTCGTTGAGAGATAGAATGAAATTGGAGTAAAAGAAGAAGACCTCGGCAATGATGAAATTTCCATGCACGGAGAATTAACTGAGCCGAATTAATGGCGGGAGGGAGGGGGAGGGTTAGAGCGTGGATTAAGAAGGTGGATCGTCGGCGATGAGGGTTTCGGCGCGATGTAAAAGCTAACGGGAGGAACTTACGTGAAGATCACGTGCAGAATGTCACCAATGAGTCCGTTGTGTCTCAGCGAGTGCTCCGAAGTTTCGCAAATGGCCCTCAGCAGGCATTCGTGACCCTGATATCCGTAACTGTGCAGAAAGTCGGGGGAAGCAAAGTGAAAAATAAAATAAGACCGACCGTGGCTGACCTACTACGACTTCTGGGTCAGCATCCGTACGGACCTATATTTTCTTCTACTCTAGTCTGCATTTTCCTTTTTTTTTTTTTTTCTTTCTTTCATTCGTTCTTCCTTTTACCTTGTAAACTATGAAATATTTCACCGCAGCGTCGGCAAACGAGTACAACAACCTTCGGTCTAAGATAAGAGATTCAGATTTCGTCGATTTCGAACGTTGTTAACAGTGACGATTGATGTTAACAGTGACTGAGCTGGCGACAGCGATAAGATGAATTTAATTTCCATAGTTGTTTTCATAAAAGATCGGTAGATCTTGTTCAGATCGTCGTAATTTAACGTGATTTCTGATACAAAAATATTGGAATACATACTTTGTGCACCTATGCTTACACGAAATAATTTTCTTTCTTTATCATGTAGTCGACATACTGAACGGTGTTCACATATAATAAGTAAAGTAGCAGTTTTCTCACAAAAAAAAAAAAGAACAAGTAGAGTCGAGATAAATTGTATGCGTTACTTTACAGTAATAGAATTAATTGGTAACTTTTGCAACTCTTATTCGGTACCTTGGATTTTTTGTTTGAGTGAAGTATAATTGAGGTGAGAAAAATTCATAAAATTGTTAATAATTTTATGAATTTTTCTCACCTCAATTAT